TTCTTTGTCTCCGTCGGGCTACAAGGTGAGTTCCCGTTTGCCATTTTTTTCTTTTTGATTTCAATTTATTTCGATTTCGCCTTCCATTCGTGGTCGTTCTTCGTCTTATGAACCCTAGTTTTCGCGCAGACAAACCATTGTTGCTTCGTTGTCTCCATAGGGCTATAAAGTGAGCTCCACTTCGCCATTTTTGTCCTCTCCATTTCAATTTATGTCGATTTTGCTTTACATTCGTGTGCGTGCTTCGTCTTCTCCGTTGATCTCTCCTCAATTACAACTTTATTTCGTTTACTTAATTTTATTTTATTTTTGTGTATTTATCGCAATTTTTGTTGGTCCTATACAAAACGCCATCTCCGTCGGGCATAACTATAAGCTTTTCCCAGGTACTGGTTGAGGTAAACACCTATTCATTCCTTAATTATACATACATCTTTTTGCCGAGTGTAGGTTACATTTTTTTCAAAAAAGTCATATTTTAAATTTTCTCTTCCTCATATATGCATACATCTTCACTTTGTGCCGGTTAATTGGTTCCGTGGATGGTAATTCGAATTTAGTGTTTTTCCGGAATAATGTTCTTCCTCATATATGCATACATCTTCATCAATGACCAGGATCACTTCTTATTTCTCACACACTAGGATGTTCTTCTCAAAATAACTTTTTCCTATTTTTCCTATTTATATATGCAAAAATTGAAATTCCATTTAATAATCCTATATAAAACCTAAAAAAAAAAAAGAACTTTTGTGAAATTTTAAAGTTCCATGCAAGTTACCTACACCAAACCTTCAATAGCACACACATGAAGAAGATTCAATGGCACACCAATGGAGAATTCATCAGTGGTGGCCATCACCAACCTTCCTCATTCACACACATTTGTCAACATTCGTGTGCTTGATTGTATCTATAAATAGGCTTCGCATTTCATTCATTTGAATCATCCAAGATTGTGATCAATCAACCTTGAAAGTGTTGAAACACAACCAAGTAGAGTTGTGGAGAGTTTAAGAGTTTTCGGTTTAGAGTTTGTAAATTTCTTGTTTTTATTCTTGTGAGTAATAGAAACTTGTTTTTCTCTCAATTATGTTTATGAAATTGGGATGATACCACAACAAATTGTGAGTTTTATCTTCATTTTGACATTTCCTTAAACAGGCCCTTGCCCGATCCCGAGCAAGCGAGCTAAAAACGTGGAGGAGGTTCAATTTGTAGTCTGTAA